CAGGAAGCTGAGATCTGAGGATCAAGGTGCAAAGTCAGCCCAAGCAGGAAAGTCTGTGAGACTCTTATCTCCAATAAACCACCAGAAAACCGGAAGTGGCCCTGTGTCTCAAGGGGTAGAGTGCTCGCCTTGAGCTGAAGAGTTGAGGGACAGCAGCGCCCACGTTCAGAGTTCAAGTCCCATGACTGACCCCCCCCAAAAAAAGCTTAATTTTAAATTAGATGGGTGTGGCCCAGTCCTGTAATTCCAGTATTCAAGAGTCTGAGGCTGGAGGATTCTGAGTTTTAGGCAGCCTGGGTTAAATAGCAAGACCCTGTCTCAAAACCAAACAAACTTAATTGTAAGCTGGCATGGAGGCACATGCATGGAATCCAGCCCTTGGGAGGGAGGTGGAGCAGGAGGATGGAAAGGCCTTCTTTCAGCTGCATACATAGACCCTGACTCAAACAAAAACCTTTTTTATTCATTTATCTTTCAAACTTCAAGGCAATAAGTAACTTTAACTGAGCCACAGTGATAAGAAAGTGCTGTCTGATAAAACTGCAACTCACATGTATATCTTAATATTTTAGAAATTTAATTCAAAACCCAATTATGTAAGTATCTTAATCAGAAAAACAAACTGTTACCTCAACCTGTTCTTTACAAATGTCAGTTAAACCAAATAGGAAGCAAGAGAGACAGCCAATTGTCTGATTCCCCTCAGCAGGATCTAGTAGCCCAGAAAAAAATGACAAAAAAAAAAAAAAGAAAAGGCCAAGTGTTGGTGGCTCACACCTGAAATTCTAGCTATTCAGGAGGCTGAGATCTGAGGGTTGCAGTTCAAAGCCAGCCAGGGCAGAAAAGTCCCTGAGACTCCAATAAACTACTCAGAAAAAGTCTAAACTGTCACTGTGGCTCAATCAGTAGAGTGACAGCCTTGAGCACAAAGAGGCTCATGGACAGCACCCAGGCCCTGAGTTCAAGCCCCAGGACCCACAAGAAGAAGAAGAAGGAGAAGGAGAAGGAGAAGAAGAAGAGGGGGGGGGCGGGAAGGAAGGGGAGGAGGGGGAGGGGGAAGATAAAATGCATGTATGTTCTGCATACTGTGGCTGACAGTAATATTTAAAGTATCTTCTGTTTGCCAGGCACACCTGTAATCCTAGCTACTTAGGAGGTTGAGATCTGAAGATCACAGTATCGCAGTTCAAAGCCAGCCTGGGCATGAAAGTTCGTGAGACTTTTTTTTTTTTTTTGCCAGTCCTGGGGCTAGTCCAGGGCCTGGGCACTGTCCCTGAACTTCTATTCCTCAAGACTAGCACTCTACCACTTGAGCCACAGCACCACTTCGAGCTTTTTCTGTTTATGTGGTGCTAAGGAATGGAACTCAGGGCTTCATGCATGCTAGGCAAGCACTCTACCACTAAGCCACATTCCCAGCCCCTTGAGACTCTTATCTCCAATAACCACCAGAAAACCAGAAGTGTCACTGTGGCTCAAGTGGTAGAGTGCTCATCTTGAGCTGAAGAGCTCAGGGACAGTGCCCAAGCCCAGAGTTCAAGCCCCACAACTGATCAAAAAACAAATAAACAAAAAACATATCATGGGGCTGGGAAGGTGGCTCAGTGGTAGAGTACTTGCCTTGCATGCCTGAGGCCCTGGGTTCGATTCCTCAACCCCACATAAGCAAAAAGAAAAAAGCCGGAAGTGGCGCTGTGGCTCCAGTGGTAGAGTGCTAGCCTTGAGCTGAAGAGCTGGGGGACAGCGCCCAGGCCCAGAGTTCAGGCCCCACGACCAGACCCCCCCAAAAAAACAAAAAATAAACCTATTATATGCTTCCTTCTGCATTATATTCAAATATTGGGGTGATATTCATATCCTAATATTCTAATATTGGGATTATATTTACACATGATTTGTCAAAATTATATTTCTGCACAGGAAAAGAATTAAGTAAATAATAGATGCCAAATGATTGTTTCTACAGTGAATAACACACATTAATGTGTAACAGTTCATTTTCGTCCTGCCAAGTAGAAAGCAAAGAATTCATAGCCACATACCTGCAAGTCCACATACACACCTCACAACTCTCCATATTCCTTTTTTTTTTGGTTGGTTGTGGGGCTTGAACTCTGGGCTTGGGTGCTATCCCTCAGCTCTTCAGCTCAAGGTGAGCTCTCTACCACTTGAGCCACAGCGCCACTTACAGTTTTCTAGTGGTTCAATGGAGATAAGAGTCTCACGGAGTTTCCTGCCCGGGCTGGCTTTGAACCGCAATCCTGAGATCACAGCCTCTTGAGTAGCTAGATTACAGGAATGAGCCACCAACACCCGGCTTCCATATTCTATTTTAAAAATGAAAACAATCCCCATATTAAAAGTCCCACTTTTCAATCCTTCTTTGTCTCAAATCTGCCCAAAATCCTTTCCATGATTCCTGTTCTCCTTAAAAATAGCTGAATATGGGGCTGGGAAGGTGGCTCAGTGGTAGAGCATTTGCCTTGCATGCATAAGGCCCTGGGTTCAATTCCTCAGCACCACATAAGCAAAAAGAAAAAAGCCGGAAGTGGCACTGTGGCTCAAGTGGTAGAGTGCTAGTCTTGAGCTGAAGAGCTGAGGGACAGCACCCAGGCCCAGAGTTCAGGCCCCACAACTGGACCCCCCCCCCAAAAAAAAGCTGAATATGCTGGGCACCAGTGGCTCGTGCCTATAATCCTAGCTACTCAGAAGGCTGAGTTCTGAGGATCCTGGTTCAAAGCCAGCTGGGGCAGGAAAGTCCATGAGACTCTTAATCTCCAATTAACCACCAGAAGACAGGAAGTGGTGGTGGTGGCAGCGGCGGCAGCAGCAGCGCTGTGGCTCAGAGTGGCAGAGCTCTAGTCTTGAACAGAAAAAGCTCACAGAGGGAAGGTGGCTCAGTGGTAGAGCGCTTGCCCTGCATGCCTGAGGCCCTGGGTTTGATTCCTCAGCACCACATAAGCAAAAAGAAAAAAGCTGGAAGTGACACTGTGGCCCAAGTGGTAGAGCGCTAGCCTTGAGCTGAAGCACTGAGGGACAGCACCCAGGCCCAGAGTTCAAGCCCCACGACCAGACCCAAAAAAAAAAAAAAAACAGCTCACAGACAGGGCTGGGAAGGTGGTTTGGTGGTAGAGTGCTTGCTAGCATGTATGAAGCCCAGGGTTCGATTCCTCAGTATCATAACACAGAAGTGGCCATGTGGCTCGTGGTAGAGTGCTATCTTTGAGCAAAGAGAAGCTCAGAGACAGTGCCCAGGACCTGAGTTCAAGCCCCACAGCCACTCAAAAAATAAAATAAAATAAAAAAGCTAAATTCAAACAAGTTTCTTTTGTCTTAATTATTACTTATCCATCCTCGAGTTTTTCTCTCCTAGTCTCCCTGGAATCATTTTCCTCCAATTCTTCCCAACCCTCTTCTACACATAAGTTGTCTCCAAACACAAAACTGGCAAAGAGAACCTTTAAATTAAATCAAGCAGGTCACCCAGAAATTTCAATTCTCCTGTGAATCCATTCCTAGAATATCCAACTCAAGGCACCTTTTCCACTAAAGAGGAAAGGCAATATACGGAAATGCATTAGACAGAGGAAGTAAACATTGAAAGGGGGCCTGCCTAGGTATTATTCTTAAGCCCAAGAGAACTCAGTTCCAGAGTGCATTGGTGTTTTTCTTTTCCATGCGTCTGTTCCCACGAGTGACTCCTCTTCAGAGCTCCAAGAGATAACTCCCTGTCCTCCACCTTCTATGCATTCTACATGACCTCTCGCCTTGACATAGTTCTTGCACTAGCAAAATCCACAAACCTCTTCGTCTCAAGTGCCTGCGTCTCCTTTTATTGAGCTCAAAAGTCTCACTCTGCAACTGGTCCAGGGAACACTGGGTTTCGCCTTAACTTATGGTTGCTCACTGAAGGTTTAACTCTGGTTCTACAGTGGTATGGCATACCCCCTTTTCCTTCCCTGCCCCCCCCCCTCCACGACGGTGCACCTTCGGGATTAAAACTGACCCACCACATCCTTAAAAGAAAGTAAAACAAGGCAAAATCAATCATCCAAGGCCGCCAGGGATTCCCCCCCCCCCCCCCGACAGTCAGATTCGTCTTCAACTTCCAAAGCCAAGGGTCTCCGGAGGGTGGTTTGCATAACAATATGGGGGGGAGGGGAGAGGGAAGAAACCTAAGCAGGAAACCGCTCGAAGGTCCCTCCCGACTTCATTAAAGGAACTCCCGGTACACGACGGGTAGCCTCGGTTCAGACAACACCTCGGTTCCCCGCTCTCGCTCTAACTCGCGGGGCTCGGGCCCTCGCGCCGTCGGAGGAGGGGTCCGATGGCAAGGAGCAGTTACGTGAACAATCGAGAGGAATGAACCAGTCACCCTATTCCTAAGACGTCCCCGCTCCCCGCAGCAAGTCTCCCGGAGACGCACCCCGAGGTTCCCTCTCGCCCTCCATGGGGTGCGGACCACCGACAAACGCCCCCCCCCTCGCCCACAGTGAGGTGGGATTCGGGCCGCTCCACTGATCGGAGGGCGCGGGGGGGAGGGGCTGGGAGCGGACGAGCCCGCAGCCGGGCTTCTGACTCCTCCAGAAACTTCTGGGACTCCTATTACGCAACTCAAGAGACCAGGTTTCCAACAACGGGACATCTTTTCCGCAAGACGCGGGGCGCGAGGGCAGAGGCTCGACCTGCCAGGAGGGGGTGAGGGCAGAGGCGTCTCTTCCTACGTCCCCATCCCGCGTCCCGATTTTCGGGGCTCTACCTGCCCAGGGTTTTGCACGGAGCGGCGGCGCTCGCGCCGCGTCCCCTTGGCCCGTTCTCCCCGAAGGTTCCCACCGGAAAAAGTGGAAAGGCCAGCGACTTGAGTCAGCGCGCCGGGAAGCGGGCACCGAGGCGGGGAGGGCTTCGGAGAAATCCCCGGCGGCGGCGGCGGCGCCCCGGGACGGGCGGACCCCAGCCGGGGTCGCGGACGGGATGGGGGCGCGCGGGGCTCCTCCACTTACCTTCCAGCCCCTCGGTCCTGCAATCCCAAATCGTGCGCCTTCGTCACCTCCCCTGACCTGTTGCGGTGCCGGCAGTGCGGGGAAACGTGCCTCCACCCCCTCCCAGGGATTCGGCAGGGCAGCTCCGGAGTCGGGAGGGCGCAGGCGACGGCCGAGGGCGCGAGGATCGCGCGGACCGGGCGCTCCGAACCCGTTCGCTCCTTCGCCAGCGCGGTGCGCCGCCAGCCGCCCCACTCCGCAGGGAGGCCTAAGCCACGCCCTCCGCCGGAGGGCACGCCCCCAGCAGGGCCACGCCCCTCGCCCCCACCCCGGAGGCTCCAGAGAAATGAAGCAGTCCCGGGACTCACTGCCGGGCCTCGGTGCCCAGCGCCGCCCCGGCCCACGCCCTCCAGCTGGCAGCACCCAAACGCTCTGGGAGGATCGCGGCCCCGGCTCTGGGTGGAACTCTGCAGTGGCCGCGCCGACCGCGTGGGTGACCCTGCCCCGGGCTGCAGTGGGGCACGAGAACCCTTCGGCTTCACTGCGAGCTGAAACTCCGGGTCAAGTTGTGACTGAAAGTGTCAAGGAGGTTTTTTTTTTTTCTCCCGTGCAACTGAAACAGATTCTGGGCCCTTTGGAAGGAGATAATAACTAACATCTGGGGAGCATTTTACAGCTTAAAGAGGCTTTCCACGCACAGTCACGTTTTATCTTCACAACAACCTTGTAAAACAGATAAATTGTTGCCATTTCCCAAATAATGAAACTGTGTTCAATGTCTCAGAGAAACCGGGCCCCCAGCCTTCGAACCCCTGGAAACTCAAATGGATCAGGGGGCGCTTTAGCAAATAGACCCAAAGGAAGAAGGGACAACTTATTATCTAGTTAAGCTCCTTCATGCTGCTACCTACTATGAACATACTAAGGAAAGTAATAAGCCATCTTCATTCGGCTCTCACCTTCCTTCTGAAAATCACTTATAAAGATTGTTATCAAAAGGCCTAGAAGGAAGCGCCTAGATGCACCATTATGATGTCTTAATGATTTTAACTGATGAAAAATGGATGAAGATCACTTTACTTAAATGTAATATATAATGCAAATTAACATAAGTATGAAAAAATGAATCCAGCTTGTAGGGGTGTGGCTCAAGTGGTAGAATGCCAGTAAACATGCTGAGAGCAAGAAAACTCAAGTTCAAGTCCAGTACACACACACACACACACATGCGCGCGCGCACACACACACACACACTCCATTCTCTCTCTCTCTCTCAGACCTAATACTGCTTTGCCCTTCATGAGTCCTTCATGGTCCACATAATAGCAAATCTGATAGGTATTTGCATTTTCAAATTAAACCTTTGACTACTTTCTCATATTTCCTATAGATTGTTTTCCAAAATTTAACTGCTCTTCTCTCTACATATCTCTGTAAACGAGATTAATTTAATTTAAAGTTAAAATAATTAATAACCTCAATGAAACCTGATTGGGTTTTTTTTTTTTTTGTCGGTCATGGGGCTTGAACTCTGGGCTTGGGCGCTGTCCCCCGGCTCTTCAGCTCAAGGCCAGCGTTCTACCACTTGAGCTACAGCGCCACTTCCAGTTTTCTGGTGGTTTATTGGAGATAGGAGTCTCACGGTCTCTCCTGCCCGGGCTGGCTTTGACCCTCGATCCTCAGATCTCAGCCTCCTGAGTAGCTAGGATTACAGGCGTGAGCCACCAGCGCCTGCTAACCTGATGGGTTTTATTTTTATCTTTTATTGGCTTCAGTCATGGGTCTTGAACTCAGGGCTTGCATGCTGACCCTGAACTTTTTTGCCCAAGGCTAGCACTTTGCCACTTGAACTACAGCTCACTTTCAGCTTTTTGGTGTTTACTTGAAGATAAAAGTCTTACAGACTTTCCTATCTGGTCTGCCTTTGAACTGTGATCCTCAGATTTCAGAGTCTGGATTACAGGATTACAAGCATGAACCACTGACACCCAAGCCTAGGAAATTTTGTTGGTGGGGGTGGTGAGAGTAAGGTGTTGCTTTTTGTTTGTTTCTTTTGTTTTGGTGTGTGTGTTGCTGGGGATGGACTCCAGGGCTTGCCCTACCAAGAGCTACGCCTCCATATCTAATAGTTTTGGGGTTTTTGTTTTGTTTTGTTTTGCTTTTTTTTTTTTTTTGCCAGTCCTGGGGCTTGAACTCAGGGCCTGGGCACTCAAGGCTAGCACACTACCAGAGTACCACTTCTGGCTTTTTCTGAGGAATTTAACTCAGGGCTTCATGTATGCTAGGCAAGCACTTTAACCACTAAGCCACATTCCCAGCACCTCTGATAGTATCTTTAGGAGAAAATATTGGAAGTGAGTGCCAGTGGCTCACACCTTTAATCCTAGCTACTCTGGAGCTGAGATCTTCAGATCACAATTCAAAGCCAGCCTGGGCAGGAAAATCTGTGAGACTCTTATCTCCAATTAACCACCAGAAAAACGGAAGTGGCACTGTGGAGCTGAAGAACTGAGGAACAGCACCTAAGCCCAGAGTTCAAGCCCTGCAACCAGCAAAAAGAAAAAGAAAAAAAGATAGGAAAAGATTGGAGATAGTCTCTGAGCAAAATGGACCAGGTGTCACCTGTGGTAGCTGTGAAGTTCTTACAAGTTTCCAACAGGCTGATATCTATTCTCATCAATGACAAATACTTTAACCTTTTTTCTATACAGCTAATACACTTCACTGTAAAAGATAGAGAAAGAAAATGAGGTTGACAGTGGAACTTTTGTAATTTTATTTTCCTGCCGTTAGAGTTGAAAATGATACAGCTTTGGTTCAGGAGAGCAATTCATTCTATGTACATGACTTTTCTTAAGGCAATGTACCAAGAAACAGGACAAATCAATGACAAAGACAGAACTCCTCTCCACTATGAGGCAGAAATCAACACATAAATGAGTATTTCCAAAGCACACTTCTATCAGTTTGTTTCCTAAATGGTGACTGGTTGTATTAAATACTTTAATCAAAATTAATTTTATCCTACTAAAAAGAAGAGATGACAAAGACAAGGAAACAAAGGACCTCTTCTTAATGTGTCTTATTTTTTAGATGACTCTATATTCTTTACCTCATCTATAGTGCATACACATGCACAACTGAGGGAAGCTGGGAGGAGGGCACAGAATCAATGGAAAGTAGTGAAAAACTGCCAAAACAAAAACAAAAAACAAGGCCCTGAGTTCAAGCCCCAGTACCCACATACAAAGATAAAGCCAAACAGCCACATTTGAGATTTCTTTTGTTGTTTTTCTGTGCAGGCACTGGAGCTTGAATTCAGGGTCTCTTGCTCTTGTTCAGATTTTTGTTTGCTTAATGCTGACACTTTACCATTTAATCAATGCCTCCACTTCTGGCTTTTTTTGTTGGTTCATTACAGATAAAAGTCTCCCTAATTTGTCTGCCCAGATTGGCTGTGAATCATGATCCTCAGATCTCAGCTTCCCAAGTAGCTACGATTACATGTATGAGTCACCAGTGACTGACAAAGGTTTCTTTTCCCACATTGTACTATCTAAATGGTTAATATGTAGGCCTTACATATTTACTTACTAGGGATGGAACTCAAGATCTGGAACTACTAGGCAAGTTCTCTACCACAGAGATATATCCCTAGCCTCTGTGTGTGTGTGTGCACACGCGCGCACGTGCCAGTTCTGGGGCTTGAACTCAGAACCTAGGGCTCTGTCCCTGAGCATTTTTGCTCAAGGCTAGTGTTCTACCACTTGAGCCACAACTCCACTTCTGGCTTTTTGATGGTTAATTGGACAGAAAAGTCTCATGGATTTTCCTGTCTGCATTGATGTTAAACCATAATCCTCACATCTCAGCCTCCAGAGTAACTAGGATTACAGGCTTGAGCCATCAACATCCAACATTATTTTTTTTTCAAATTCCTGACATAAACAAAAGAAAGGTAATTATGAGCTGGGTGCCAATAATTATGTAGTAGAGCTGCTGATGTTTAACTTCATTAACATTTTCCTGCAACTTTACCTAGTAGCTGGGCCCACAGGCATGAACCACCACACCAGCCTTCTTTTTCTTAATCTTGACAGCATAACCATATACATTTCTGATTATATTTCTTCTAAAGCAAATCATGAATCTAAGATCAGTGACTTTTTTAGAAACATTTGAAAAAGTAAAACTAAAAATCTTTCCTTTTTAATACTGCAGTGGTTCTTTCTAGCGAGGTTTTCACTTGAGGCTTTTGGGATGTTTCTGGATGACAATTTTCACCTATGATTTCATTAAAATTTAAAAACAAACAAGACAAACCCCTGGGACTCAAAGAAGCTTATAAGCTGTATCCCAGAACACCAGAGTAGTCCAAGGGGAAGAGAAGATGACACCAAGATGCAGACAGGTAGGGATGCACTTCACAACACAACATAGATATTTGTCTGCTTGGCTGCTGAAGTGCTCTGCCTCACCCCAGGCAGCAAGGGCTGGAGACCCACGGTAGATTATGTTGTTCCAAAAAGGCTGAGTGTGTTCCAAAGAGGTACAAAGTTATTCCCCCAAATGTGAACAGATACTTAATCAAATTGTAAGAGTAGCATATGTTTTGGGGGGTGGGGAAACATTAGGAAGTTGAAGCAAAAGGATTTCAAGTTCAAGACCATCCTGGACTACAGAGTAATTTTGAGGCAAGGAGGAAAGTGAAAGTGAAAGTGAATGTGAACACCAAGGGAAGGAAAGGGAGAAGAAGGGAGGAGGAGGGGGAGGGAGATCTAGGGGGGGTAGAAGAGGGAAGGGAGGGGAAGGGGAGGAGGGGGAGTAGAATGGGGAAAGGGTGGGAAGGAGAGATCAGAGAAGGAAGAAGAGGGAAAGGAGGGCAGAAGCAAGGAGGGGGAGAGAGGAAAGGAAAAGGAAAGGGGAAAGAAGGAAGGTAGCATAGATGAAAAGGAATGCTAGTATTGAAGAAAAGGAAAAAGAAAAAGAAAGCAAAAGAAGAAACAAAGAAACGTTACTTCAAGGGAAAGGAGCAGTGATGAAGAAGAAGGAGGAGGAGGAGGAAGAGGAGGAGGAGGGGCTGGGGATATAGCTGAGTGGCAGAGCTCTATTTAATCTGCAAGAAACTCTGGGTTGGCCTGGGAATGTGGCTTAGTGGTAGAGTGCATGCATGAAGCCCTGGATTTGATTCCTCAGTAGAAGCAGCTCTGGGTTCCATCTTCACACACACACACACACACACACAGAGTGAGAGTGAGAGAAGGAAGAGGAGGAGAAGAAAACAGAAACAGAATTGATGGCCAGGAGTCCTACATTTGTGGGGCACTGTGGTCTCTGTCACAACTATACTTGGTATTATGACACAAAGCAGTCATAGACAATACATAAAGCATAAAAGTAGTTTGCTTGCTTTCCTCCTCCTCCTCCTCCTCCTTACTCCTCCTCTTTCTCCTCTCCCTCCTCCTCTTCCCTCTCCTTCCCCCTTTCCTTCCTTTAGGGTGACAGTATGGAGTCTACCACTTGAGCCACACCTCCTCTTCCAGCTTTATTGGTAATGAATCGAAAATGAGTCTCGCAGACTTTCTTGCCTGAGCTAACTTTGCACCTCAGTCCTCAGAGGTCAGCTTCCTGAAGTAGCTAGGATTACAGTTGTGAGCCACCAGTGCCTAGCTGAAGACAACCATTTCTACAAAATGCTATTTATTTGCAGAGCCAGATGGCAGGTTGTAGTTTGCTATTTTCTTCTCTAGAACTTTACAACTGAACAGACAAAAAACCAGCAGCAGCAACCTCCGTGCCAAGCTATGGAATTTTCCTTCCAATCTCCATGCACTGTGTACGAAAGCTCTTTGATCTTGTTGAGCTTTAGAAAGATTGCTGTGACTGCACCTGAGATGGTGAGGCTGCAGTCCTGATTCCTGCAGGCATGGAAGAAATGTATAGAAATCCAAGTATGGGGCTGGGAAGGTGGCTTAGTGCTTGCCTAGCATTATGAAGCCCTGGGTTCAATTCCTCAGTACCACACGAACAGAAAAAGCCCAAAGTGACACTGTGGCTCAAGAGATAGAGTACTATCCTTGAGCAAAAGAAGCTCAGGGACAGTGCCCAGGCCCTGAGTTCCAGCCCCAGGACTGGCATGCATGCATGCATAAATAAATAAACAAAATCAGTGCCTGCATGTTCTACTACTTGGTAGAAGACCTGGTTTCTTGGGAGCGGACATCTCTTTCTCTAACAAGTATAAGTTTTATATTGATGGTGACCTTTTTTTTTTCTTTTTTTGCCGGTCGTGGGGCCTGAA